AAAATTGTATACTTTTATTTAGTTTTTTATATATTAAAAATAACTTAAAATTCATAACACACTAAATTACAATAACATCCGTTGAAATTAAGCAAATAATAGTATAAGATTTTGAGTATAACTATCATGATATCACAAGTTCATAATAAAATTTAAAATATGAAATGAAAAATATATGTATTTTTTAGTTTTTTACGAGTTTCGTGTCGTGTTCGGGTTAGGCGGGTCCAACCTGAAATTGACCCGTGTTTTTCGTGTCAATTTCAGGTCGATTCAATTCTGACCTGAACATCTTTTTTCTCAATCCTAACTCGTAAAATTTATATTATTTTCGAGTCGTGTCATCATGCCGTGACCCATATTGCCAACATTAGGTTAAATATCCCATTTTTGTTTTGATGAGTAGCAGGGAGGAAACTGAAAGATACGAGTCGCTTTATTAATTTTTTTAAAATTTCTTTAAAACCCGCGAGGAGGCCACGTGGCACTATTTGACACGTGTCAATCTGTAATCGTATATAAGATTAAGCATATAAACGCAGTGGGGTTCTTCACAAGACACACTCATTTGACCCTGAAGACCCAATTCATTCGAAAGCAAAGGATTTTAGATTCTCTGCAAAGGAAAGATGAGTAAGCCCCAAAACCCCGATCTTCCCCAGAAGCAGAACCTTCCTTCTTCTTCTTCGTCGTCGTCGTCTCTCAATAAGATACCTAGCGAGGCCAACGGGAGTTTCTCAGGGCAAAAAATCCGCTACCCGAACCTTCCGGACCCGGCGAATCCTGACCCGGCGACGCTCCGGGAGCATTGGAGGTTCGCCATCCGGCAGTACAGCCGTTGGTACTCCCAAGCCTGGGGCACCGCCATTCTCGCCGGTCTCTCCTTCTTCGCCCTCGGCTGGATCATCAAGGGCTCCAATCCTCTTCCCTCTTTTCGCGGCGACAATCCACCTTCTTCTTCTTCTTCTTCTGGTTCCAATTCCTCCGATGAAGCCAAACGATGACAATTTTCCCTTACTCGGTGAGTTTCTTTTTCCTGTTGTTTTGTAAAATTTTCCTGAGTTCTGAGCTCAAGTTTGAGAATTGATTAACAGAATAGAGTCGAATTGGATTGATATTAGGGAAATGCTTAGCTTAGGATGTTTGATCCTTAATCGTTCTTTGTGATCAGCATTGCCACGGCTTATGTGAGGAGATTGAAGATGGGGATAGATAGGCCGCCATCGGTGAAGAAGAAGAAGAAGAAGAAGAAGACGACGAAGAAGATACGCCGTTGAATCAACAAGTCTCTCGCCTGAACAAAATCCAGCTGCTTTTTGGTTTTACTACGTGTTTATGTTATTATAAAAGCTTATACATAGTTTGTTTGTATATGCGTGAGTTACCTTGGAAAATGTTCTGAATGTATTTGTTATAAAATCTTCTTCTTTGCTTGAAGAAAGTGGTGATTTGACCACAACTGTAAATCACCCATCCTATACAATTTTGGTTAGTTTTTTCTTCTACCACACAAACTTCTAGAGATCTCTGGCTGCGGACGAGTTGTAGCTTAAAATTAGCATATGCCAGAAGTAGCAAACCAACTAGTTTGCACAAATTAAGGAAAAAGAAAAACGGAACCAAGACGACGTTTGTTTTAAGAATTATGCCTTATTTTAAGAGTTTTGCCTAGTTTAAGATTTATGATTTTTAGTTCGGTTACAGTATTTTTCTCTTAAAAAAAATTAAATTTTAAAAATCAGAATCACGAATCATAAAACTCATCAATCAAACGTCACCTAAGTTTACTAAGTGCTAGTCCAAAGAGAAAATCGCAGTTTAACAAACTCTGCTGCAAAAGTGTTTCTTTGGCCAACATGCACGATGAAATTCATTTAAATGTCTCTTATAGACTAACCCCAATATACGGAGTGCGTAAAATTGATATTTTGTTTAACATACTTACTAATCAAGTTGGAGAAAAAGTGCCAAAGTGGTGTCTTACTGTTGCATATAGAATAAACAGAGCACAAACATGACTTGCAATGATTTATAGCAAAGTTGATCATTCCACTTGAAAATGTCGAACTAAAAAACAAACTTACTTCTATAAAAACTGAAATAAACATAATGAGATAGTAAAAAGCTATTACACAGTGGAGGATGAGTTCAAAACGAATGAAAGAAAGAACATGAAACGTTTTCAGAATCCTATCTTTCGGCTACAAGATAGACGAGTTTCCAAGTACCCAAAGCAAAATGTTCAAACTACAAGCAGCTAATTCTGTTGACAAAAGCCTTTCCCAGGAATCAGGTCGACCTCTATATAAACATGACCAGAGCATGGTCTTCAAAAACCACATCTTTTAACCTTGTGGATCACAAAATTAAGCAGAGCAACATCCGACTTTTTTCACAGCTGATACATCATCCTTGGTTCCAACATTGATGGTCTGTCCTTTGGGCAAGGCTGCTGGGTCCTCCCCAATATCGAGGGCTTTCCTGCTTACCACGCGATAGATTTGGGTCAAAACTTCTGTGAAGGAATTCTCGACATTCATGGACTCGAGGGCAGATGTCTCCATGAAGAAGGTGTTCTCCTTCTCAGCAAAAGATTTGGCATCTTCAGTCGAAACTGCTCTCAGGTGGCGCAGATCGGCCTTGTTTCCGACGAGCATGATCACGATGTTGGCATCCGTGTGATCCCTAAGCTCCTTGAGCCATCTCTCCACATTCTCAAATGTGACATGACGGGTAACATCATAGACTAATAGAGCGCCAACAGCACCGCGGTAGTATGCGCTAGTGATTGCACGATACCTTCAAAGACAAACAATTTATTGAAATGAGATGTTTTCGAAAAACCAGGGATGGGAATTGGAAAAACCCTCCCTCTCTCCCATTCCTGTATTCCTGCTTCTGTATAGATCACCACTTCCTTGGTTTCTAAGGTCCTTGGTTGCAGTGAAATTACACAACTCAAATTTTAGGACCATCCCTATATGGAAATATACACGACTCCATGCAAACCCATAAGAAATAATGCAAAACGCTAGTTTACTAACATACAAAAACAAGGCTTAGATGCCCAATGCATAAAATGGAGGCATATTTAAGCCTTATAGTAAAAAAAAAAAAAAAAAATGCTCACAAATAAAACAATAGAAATAGAAACATACGAGCCTTTTTTTAATGGAAAAGCATATGAACTAACATATAAGGAAGAGTGTGTTTTCTATCTCATGTTATTTCTGTCAATCATTTCCTCTTTCTCATCCCAATTTTTATCTGAACAAAAGAAGTTCGGAACTCAGCCGTATATAAGCCAACTGCTCTTATCATTAGATTGCCAGATTTGCTAGAAACTTAAGACAAAGAATAAAAGGCAAATCTCTCTAAAGAAACAATAAGCTTTCAAAAATTAAATGAACAATTATATTATAACAATTATAAGCTATCAAAAATGAACAATAAGCTAATCAATATTGATTTTTGATATATCACCAACAAGTTCTGCTGTAGAATTCCTAACAAATTTGCAGACTTTTTAAGTCATTGCATAACTATTATTTCCTAACAATGAGCCACAAACATCAAACCACAAATAAAATTCCAAGTATTATTGTTCTATTATTGCACCACATAAATCAACGATAATCCATTGATAAACTAGACTTGAGAAATCCAATCAGAGCCACCAAAACGCAATTTTCATATTCAATTAGAAGCGATCCGAATTGAATCACAATGATAAATTCAGAAACCGAAATCGACTAACAATCAAACGGCTCAAATTTCTCAACACACTAACAAATACCGACCTATCGTTATCTGATCAGTTTTAAAAACGAAAGAAAGAAAAAAAAAAACGAATCTTTGCAATACTCGCATGAATATCACCGTCCAACAAACATGAGAGCACAGATCGAAAATGCAATCTGATCGATCCAAAAAAAAAAATCAAGACGAAAAAAGAGGAAGAATCGAACGGATCCGAACCTTTCTTGGCCGGCAGTGTCCCAAATTTGGGCCTTGACAACCTTATCGTCGACTTTAATGCTCCTGGTGGCAAATTCGACTCCGATTGTGGATTTCGATTCGAGGCTGAACTCGTTCCTGGTGAATCTGGACAAGAGGTTCGATTTCCCAACCCCCGAGTCTCCGATCAGAACCACCTTGAACAGGTAATCGTAATCATCGTCCGTTCTGTACGCCCCCATGTCTCAGCGCAATCACTGTTTTTCTCCCGAGGGTGTTTGGCGCGGTGGAAAATCAGAGAGAAAATTGTCTCCACGAAATCTTCTCTTTATATATTTACTTATTTTTTTCTGGCAATAAATGAAGGTAATTTGGGGTTTAAAATTTAAAGAGCTTAGTTATTATTGGTATTCGTTAAAAAGATGAGAGAAAATGTAAAGAAAGAGGAGAGAGGATGTGAGGAGCTGAGGAAGGGGCGAAGTGGAAATATGGGGGATTTTTGATTTTTTATTTTTTTTAAGGTTGGCAAATTATTGGTTTTTTGTTTACAAAGTACAAACAAAACAACTTTACGGTCTTAATGTGGTTGCCAGACAAATAAACTAATCATTTTCACATTGGACTTTTCCATTAAAAAAAAAAAAAGCAATAGACACTATCTAATTTATAAACAATATAAAAGTAACGCGTAAAATCGAAACTTCCAAAGAAAAAATAAAATAAAAAAGACATTTCTAATCCTTTCAAATAAGTCTTTCCATTCATTCTCAGCAACTCAAATATATATATATATATATACACACACATTCATACATATTAGATATTGTGTACGTTTTGAAGATTTTCATTTTCTTCTATTATAACAAGTCAAAAATTCTCATAAATTTTCCGAGTGATTTTTATGACTTTGAAACAAAGAATTACATTGAAAAGTCATGCATAAACTTTAATCATGTATAACATGTGATAAAATAGTATTCTAAAATTTTTGTATTGCTCTTTTATTTTTCTCGTTTGTATTAAGTTTAATATTGTAACTGAATTCAATTACTTTAATGTAGCTTTTATTTTTCTCGTTTGTATTAAGTTTAATATTGTAACTGAATTCAATAACTTTAATGTCGTAACTGAGGGTTTGTTCTTTTAGAGTTTAACTTGAGTATAATTTTTGAGTTGAATTTGAGTTATAACTTGAGGTTGTGTTTGGTTGTGTACATTTGAGTTACGGTTTGAGATAAGAATCTTTTTGAGTTTGTGTTTGAGTGAGTCAAAACTTGAATTTATATTTAGATAGTATTTTAATAAAAACTCAATGCTGATGAAAAATTTTAATAGGGTATATGGGTCGGATTTTATTCGTCTTTTCGTTGTCAACGCATAGAAAAAAAATCATCTTAATCAGAATTAAAACGAAAAAGTTATAGCATTTTTAAGAATAGAAAAAATAATGTTCATTAATTTGAGTTCGAGTTTCTGAACTCGAGTTGAAGAGAAAACTTGAACTCGAGTTTTAGTCCTAAACTCGAGTTTAAACTTAAAAGAACATGAACTCAAATAAAGTTGTAACTTGAGTTGCATTTTTTTGAGTTTTTCACTCAAAAGAACAAGCCCTAAATTTTTCATTTTCATTCACCGAAATGAAACTCTATATAATTTTCCTTTTACCAGCTTAATATAAATTCAAAATTGAGATAACCAGTTTAGAAATGAAAAAACACAAGCTATTAAAAAGGCATTATTCAGTACGCTAATATACTAATAGGTTAAGTAATCTGTTCATCAGATTTGCATAAAAACACGTAAAAATTAAAAAGCACGCATATTTAACAAATAGAAAAACTTGATACGCCAAATATACTAGAGAATCTCCCTTCAAATTTTATAGAGTAATTAATTTTCATCTACTTTGTATTTAATACCACAATAATAGCGTTTCACTTGCATCAAGAAAAGACAACGTAGACGTAGTTAAAAGAAAACTACTGCTAAGATTGGTAGTAGCTCTCAATCTTATTTCCTTTTTTCTGTTCCCCCAAATAAGCACAATCCTCAAAGCCCCCACAATATAAGCCGAAAAATTACCATATCTGGTTTGTTTGTGTCATCCACAGCCACTCAATCTATCAACTACGCATTTCAAGCCAAATAATAATAATAATAACAACAAGATAAAATAAAATAAAATCTATCAACTGGCCACAAATGTATATATATATATATATATATACACACACACACATAAATATATTATATATATCTTCTCATCATATCTCCGATCAGCAAACTTTGTAAATAAGTTCATCTTTTTTATTGCATTTAACTAATCAGATCAAAAGTAGTTAGTCCCCACTGCAATGTATGGCCACTGTACAAGTCGTCAAACCAAAATCCCATGCAAAATAACCAACCAAGACCCAACTGAAATAATTTTGTCCTTATTTTATGATTTAATATTATTCAAGTGAAATATTGTACAAATATATATATATATATATATATTTTGTTTGGTTGAACGTTGTTCCCTCCAGACCAACCACCAATACTTGGTTGAACGTTGTTCCAGATTCCAATCACCAATACTACTAATTTCTTTCTTTCTTTGGGTTAAATTGTTTTAGCTTGCGAATTATAAGCCTCTAACATTTAAAACGTCTCAAATGAATCCATGATCTATCAAAATGTTTCAAATTAGTCATTCGTTCATATAAGTTGTAGAGTTAGATTGTAAAAAGCACAACCTTTTTCTTAACAATCGTGCACATCTTAACATGTAAAATTAATCAAAAAATTAACTCTCATGAAGCAGCACATGGCCCTCACACATATATATTTTTTTGTCTTTCGTCAAGATTTCAAAATTCGAATGGGTATAAAAATTAATTTAGAACAATTTGATATCTCAGGATTCTTAGACGTACGTTTTAAAAGTCGTGTGCCACGCAAAATAAAAATTCATGCATTGCATGGCGTGCCTATCATGAGGCTCTTCCAACGAAGGTTAAAATTAATGTGGACGCTCCTCTTAAGATATCCATTTACGTTTTGCTGGGGCTGTGTTCTACATGCTGCTGCTATACGCTTTGATGCATGGCACTTATTCTCCAGCTCATGATATAATTGCTGAGTGTCTTGCCGTGCAAGAAGGGATTAAACTGATTACTAGGCGAGGCGGCTTTCGTAATTGGGTGATCGAGACTGATGCTATCAACCTGGTTAATGCTATCCTTTTCCAGTTTCGAGTGCTGCAGAAGCGTCGAATATTAGATGACATTCGAGTTGCTGACCATGTTTGGATTTGGTTTTGTTTTTATTTTTCACATTTTTTGAGAAAAAAAATGAAAATGGAAGAAAAACGGTGTTTGGTATAATTAATGACAAAAAACGAAAATGAAAACGATTTTTTGGTTTAGTGTAAAATAGGAGAGAAATAAAAAACGACTTTTAGTTGTTTTTCATTTTTTGTTTCTGTTTTTTCCTCCATCGAGCATAGAGTGAGACATTAATGAATTTTTTATACTGAAAATAATCTTTTGATAAAACTACCAAAAATATTTTTAAAAATAATTTATGTCTGAGATTAAAAATATTTTTATTTTCATTTACATATAAAAAATAAAATTATTTTAGAACGAGTTTTAAACGTATCCGCTATTTTTCATACTAATAATGGCTCAGTTTGCTACATTTTCCGTTAAGGGAATCCGGTAGCCCACTGTTTGGTAAATTTTGCGTGTTTGTAAGTTCATGATTATGTTTAGTTTGATTGTTTGCCTGACTGTATTAGTCCGTTTGTTCTTGCTGATTTAGCAATTGAATAATAAAATCATTAGTTTAAAAAAAGAAAAAAAGAAAAAAAGAAAGAAAAAGATGCAAACGCTTTTTTTTTTTTTTTTCCCTCTCCTGTCATGAAATACTTTGATTAGCGGGCAATGCCCTAAAACTGTGTAATAGCATTTAGCATTGTAGCTTTAAAAAGAAAATTAGAAATTTAGAACTCTCAAAATAATAATTTATTTATGGAAAATAGTAAGAAATATGTCAATATGAAAAGTTTAAGTATATAAGTCAACTTTTAGTTATAGAAATTAATATGTCATAACTTGTCAAGTTATGATTCATAACCAGATAAGTTGTGGACAAACTTGTCAAGTTATGGTTTATAACCAGCCAAGTTATGGACAAAAACTTGGAATAACTTGTCAAGTTATGGTTCATAACCAGACAAATTATGGACGAAAACAGTGATTTGACATATTTATTAACTTATGTAAACTATTAACCTATTAATTTTAATCCATTTCAAGTCTTGGCCTATTTCTCTCTTTCTCTCTTTATTTATTTGTTTATATGAACCCGCAAATCTTCTTTCTAGTCCATACGATATGATATAAAGAATATAAAAACAGATATCATGAGAAAATTGACGGTGTCTATGAGCGTTGACGCTTTGTAAAGATCTATCAACATAGGTGAATTCAGTCTTCAACTTTGATGTGCAGCCTATTTCGATTGACAAGTTCATGCATATTCATTTCTAATATTATTTGTTTTTCGTTAAAGTTTGTATATAAAGAATTGTATGAATTAAAATGAAGGAATATCAATTGCGAGGCAGTTAGCTTGTATAAACACACAATACAAAATCTTCTCCAAGGTTGGACAATGCCACAGTGTAGGGGTTTTATTTTTAAGTTCTTTCTGAAATATCACTGGCTGTATTATATCAGGTTATTAGACCTCTGTGTCGGTGGAAGACTATTAGGTTATCGAGAGTAACCTGCTGTGATATTGAAGATAGTTTGCTATGATACTGAAGATCCTCTATCACGTTACTAGACATTCTGGTTGCTACCTCGCTACCACAACGTCTCACTCAAAGACTAAAGAATTAATAATAACAATAATAACAATAATAACAATAAAGAACAGAAGTATATTTGTCAACACACCAGACATCGTGAAATATGGTATTTTTACAAGAATTTTATACGTGCACCAAAAATTAACTCGAGGGTAACAACGTATATGGTTCACAGATGCAGTCCATTTTCTTTCATGAAAAAATTTTAGTACTTTTTACTCTTTAAACTTTAGCTCGTAATTTATTTCAGGAAAATTTTTAAAAACTCCATTAATAAAGTAATATTATTTTATTTTTGTCACTGGTGTTAAATTTATCTTATGTCACTAATAATCTGCAGGTTATCTTTTAATAACCTACATTTTTTCATAATTGTAGATTATCTTTCGTAACCTGCAGGCGACGAAATAATTTACAGGTTATCTTTCGTAATCTACGGAGTATCTTACGCAACCTGCAGATTATCACTTCGTATCCTGTAAGTTATTTTCTATAATAACATTAAAATTTGGTATAGTAGCATAATTAATAAAATTAAAAAAAATAATAGTTAAACTTAAAATTTTCTCAACTTTTGCATTAAACTACCCTTAAATTTAACAAAATGTGGTGTAC